CACCTTGAGAAAGTTAGCCCATTAAAGAGTATTAAACACACAGCGTGACACTATCCCAAAACACTTCGTAACAAACCTCTTAACAGTGACATAGTTCATTTTTAAATGATGATTTAATTTTTTAATATATTTTAAACATTTCTCACCATTTCTATCAATTTCACAGTGAACACCACCATCTGCTCCTCTTTTTCACCAAAGCATCCTTCTCCATGACGGTCAACCACAGTGCCATGGCACTCACTAAGCCACTTGCTGCCCAGCACTGCAGTGTGTAAAGTCTTAGCAAGCCATGTCAGCATATCAAATTGAAAAATCAACCATGAAAAAGGTGTGGCATGTTGGGACAAAGAGCAAAAACGCTATCATTCTGATACTGTGTCCAAATGATAGGAGCCTAGGCACAAACAGGTTCTGATGGGTAATAACCTATAACTGTGACTACACTGGTTGGTTTTGGGCAGTGTCACCATATAACACAGTCAAAGCCACTGCTTCTTGTGTCTACCAGCAACACATTTTACAGCCATTTAAAGACAGAAGTGTTTATACCACTGAAGACAGCTCATGTGCAAAATGAGCCCAGCTCTTCTTTAAACAAGGTAAAGGAAATGAGGAAGCAACTATTAGCCATTTAAAATTTTGCAAAATCTCTGTAAAATGAAGTCTTGGTTAATACGCTTCTCTGGTACTTTGTGTTCTTGACAAAGCCTTCATTTACATTTTCCAAAGAGACCTTAAAGGATTGGGGGAGCTATTATATAAATATGAACCCACAAACTTCACTTACAATTGTTGGATACACTTTTGTGTAGACCCATACCTTAACTCCACACCTCTTTCACAGAGTCATTTCATTAACTGAAGGATCATCTGAAGCAGAGTGAAATGGGCTCATTGGTGATCAGTCAATACAACCAGTATACAGAATGGATGGGAAGAGACCCCAGTTATTACTTATCAGTAACTCAGGCTTCTTACACTGATTTTTTCTGTCACTGAAAATCGACCTTCACTCACTCAGTTACTTTCAAAGCTGCTATGAGACTGTTAATAATGATCTCAAACACAGTCATCCTCCTCATAGGCTCATACATGTGGCATAACAGTTCAAAAGTCTACTCAGGAGTTTAATTTCACGGCCTTCTTTCTTGGGAAAAAAGTACAATGCAAGGTCTCTAGAAACAAAGCATTAAAATGACCCTTAAAAAATCAGTTCCCCATTTCATCAGGAAAGGCCAAAATATTTATATGCCTTTCCAAATCCCCTGAAGTGAATTACCTTACAATTGCATTTTAGTGCCAAACTCCTTTCATGCTGAACCCGAGTTTCTTGATTCGCATCATTATGTTTAAGGTGTTTGTTAAGAAAAACTTTCTGATCCACTGAAGTGAACATCTGACCTCTGTCTGACCCAGAAAGGCAGAAGATAAGCTCATTTTTAAGTAAAAACATCATGATCATCATTCAGTTCAGTTCTGAGGACAGGAGTGTTCTTTGCCAATCTCGGCATCACAAACAGCTCCTGGCATGCGTGGTAGGTGCTTAGTAAACACTGCCAACTCATTCAGTTGGCAGATCCCAGAACAGATCCCTCAGGGTAGCAGGGAAAAGAGCGAATATCCGAGAATGTATTGTCATCGACACGTACTGTAGTCACTGTCATTTATATATGATATAAACCAGGTAGATGTATGAGGAGTACAGATAAAATTTCATTTGAAAGTCACTGGGCTTTTTAGTGTGAAAGAGAAAACATCCATGTGTTTATGATTTTGAGATTCTGAAGAGGGTGGGGGAAGGGATATTTACACAGAAACATTTCTCATTTCACATAGAGAAATTCAGTGAAAGGTGGTAGCCACTGAAACAGTGTTTCTTTCCAAGCTATGTGTCCTTGTTTCCAGGTTTTCTTTATCCTTTTCCCCAGGAGACAAGCGCTCAGTCACACAAATCCTCCCAACCTAAAGCAGGGGACAAAGGGAACAGCTAATGGGAGGGCAGCAGAGGTTACTAGCTCCCTGCTTTGATTCTCAGGGACCACAGGCTTCACTAGGCGAGGAGGACGTGAGGACCTGAGAATGTGCACAGCTAAGAAACCCACCCAGTTCCTCTGCAGGGACCACAGCTCACAGAGCCACTGAAATGCAACTGCTCTTGGGTTCTGGTGACAACCACCCCAAGCTCCTCTGTGGGGGATCTGCAGCTTCCCATTCTCCAGCTGAGCATGGCTGGAGGGAAGGCTGGCTGGGGGTCCCAGGGTACCTGAGGCTATGCTGATGAAGGACCCCATTGCTCCTATGTGACACAATGGGGAGAAAACAAGATCAAACAGAATGACTGAGACTGACAAGAACAAAGCCCAGTACCCTGCCCAGCCCTGAGTCTAGCTCCCTGCAGCAAGGCCCTCCGTTCTTCCAGCCCTGTGTTCCTGGTATTTACGAATACAGTATTTTTTATTCTCAATTTTAGAACATCACATTGACTTTCTACTGTATAAGACTGGAGCGTGGTCCTTAGGCGGTCACCAGTGCACACACACACATACATTATCACTCATCTTTCAACTACATTTTGCTCATAATATTTGGTTGATATGGTACTCAGGATTCACACTACGATGGTCTTGTTAAACTGTTCGTTGCTAGTCAATGAATGGTAATTACATTTTTCAGTTATGAATTTCCCGAGAATTAGAATTCATAACCAGCTGATAGGCAAAAGTAACAAAAATCTGAGACTAGCAAATGACGGCAAGAGTGTGAAACAGGAAACGCTGACTGCTGTAGCCACTTCAGAAGCAGTGACACAGGCAGTACTCCAGGAACCTGCATTCACCTGTGCCTGGCAGCTCCAGGCCCTGCGATGCCCGAGAGCCTCACAGATGTGCTGGAAAATGCTCGCACCAATGTTGTTCATGCGCAGAGTTTATAATAGCAACAAATGGGGAAACAGGCCAAACTGCAAATCCTGAGGAACAGATAAACTATATAAGGCAGATAAAATGAACAACACATAGCTTTCATATCAACAGTGAGGCATCTCAAAAGCCCAGTGCTAAATGGGATAAAAAGAACAGTAATAACATTTATGCAAAGTTTTAAAGTATGTAAAATACTACTACTTGATATTCACTGGCATGTACACATGAAGTAATACTGTAGAAACAGTAAGTAACAAGTTCAGGATTGAGGTTATTTATAAAGAAAGAGATAATCTTTCTTGTCTCCTCCTCCCTTTTGGGGGAAGGAGGAGACAAAGTACTAGGAGACAAAGCTCCCACTGAGCTTCATCCCCAGCCATTTTTTTTTTTAAATTTATTTCAAAGGAAAAAGAGAAAAAAACAAAACAAAACAAAGCGGTGTAAGGGCACAAGCAATACAGAACCACAAAAAAAAAAAAAAAAAAAAAACAAACAAACAAAAAAAAAAAACAGCAAGAAATCACCAGTCAACTGGTTTCTTGCTGGTTTTTTGTTTTTTTTTGTTTGTTTGTTTGTTTGTTTTTTGTGGTTCTGTATTGCTTGTGCCCTTTTTTTTTTTTTTTTTTTTTTTTTTAAGTTTTGAAAACAGGGTCTCACTAAGTCATTAAATTGCCAAAGCGAGGCTCAAATTTTCAATCCTGCCTCACCCTCCCAGGGTGGTGGGATTATGGGCATGCACCCAACCAATTATTCTCAACTCAACAGTGACACAGTAAGGAGAGGAAGTATTAGGCAGTAGAGAGCTGGGCAGTCCTAGGCCCAGAGAGAGACTTGGCATCAAGACAGCTATGGACAGGACAGGTGGCGGCACACCTGCAGGCAGCTGTTCTTTCTGCTAGTGCCAGTGAGACGAGGCAGAGACACAGTGATGTAAGAAAGTGGGAAGCCAGAAGGATTACAGGTTGTTCTCTGAACAGCAAGGCCTGCAGTGCAGTAAACAGCTCCAGCCCCTGTCCATCTGGAAAGGAAAGGCCCCTGTCCATCTGCATAAAAGTGAGGGGAGGGCCTTGCTCCTACTGCCTCAGCAGAGACTGGATCAGGCACCAACTGGGCTCCTTCCAGCCACCTCCCTCCGCATCTTGTAGGGCACCAGCAGGGCACCTGCTATTTCAATTATCTCCAGGCATCACATCCCAGGCAGGAAAGTGATCAGAATTTAATGACTCATCCTATCCCACAAAACAGCTCTGCTCTTATCGTTATGCCTGAAAGTATACAGAGGTAGGACTGAGACAAAAAAGGCAGAATGTTTTTTAAAATGCTTCATTTTTAACACGGCAGGAAAATAAATCAAGCATGTTTTCAAAAGTTCAAAAATAAGGGGCTTACAATTACTGAAAAATGAAATCTGCATATAAAACTCTAGTAATTGTGGGTAATAGGGGAAGAAAATTATGTATGTGCTTGAATTTTTAACATGTCTTAGTTATTTTGTCTACAAGATGCAGAATAAAGTGAATGTGACTTAAATTTTGTAAATGAAAACGGGCTACTAATTAAGCTTGTCCTTCAAAGTGCTGCGTGTAAGGAAGTGCTCCTATTCAGTTTAGCCTGACTCTCGGGTATAATTCCCAGAGGCTCTTCCTAAAACTCAGGTGACCCCCATCCCTGGAGTAAGCACAGACTCCAAGTTAGTGGTGCTCTCTGGGAGATCAACCATTACATTCATAAATTCAAAGCAAGCTGCTAAAAACCATTACCATTCGCAACCATTCTGTGTGAATGAAGATTCTCTTAGCAGTATGTAACCAAAATGAAAATAAACTTGCAATTAACATGGATATGTTTTCAGTGCCTACCTCGGGGGTCCCCAAATTTAGTCCTTACTGAATGTTATAAAAGTGTGAAAAGTCTAGGCAGATAACATGCATTTATTTTAATGGAATAAACATTGTTTTATATTATAGTCTAAGGTAACATGCATTTAACACAGCATTATCCATTTTTGGGGAAATTATTGATTTAAGTAATTCTCTTCCAGGTAATACTTGCTATCAACTCTTTAAAGTCACTTACGACTGGTCCTGCTTGTGGGAGAGGGAAAAAAAGTCGTAAACCAAGCACACTCCAAACACTGTGACACCCGTCTCCTTCACCAGCATTGCGCAGGTCCCCAGAAGCAAACTGAGCAGCAGGAAGAAGGGTGAAGCCGCAGGAGGGAGACAGCCCCCCGCACCATGCTGGTCCAGACTCCTGGAAGACAGGGGACAGTCTTTCAGCCTCAGAAGTGTGGGTCACGTAAGACACTTAAAGATAAGATACAGTATCAGTTTCACTGCACCCTAAGCAAGTAAGTAGGTCAGCAAAGACTTTTTCAAGAAGTTCACCATGGAATCACTTAAAACTGCTAAGACAGGGGCTGGGGATTTAGCTCAGTGGCATAAGCGCCTGCCTTGCAAGCAGGTAGTTGTGAGTTCGATCCCTGGTACCAATAAAGAAAAAGACAAAAAAAAAAAAAAAACTGCTAAGACAGAAAAAAAATGCCTAGTAATAAACTTGTTACTTCAATTATGATATTTATAAATTATGGTAAAATAGGGACTATAACAAATGAATGCTTGAAAGCTATTCAAAATTCTACCATAAAGGTGTATTTAGGGAGATGGCAAGAAGTTTAAGAGAATACTTTGTAAGAAACAATATGAGTCACAAACAATTTCACAGCTCTGGGCAGTCAGCAGGTCCAACACCACTCTGTAGGTCCCAGCAGGGCCAGACAAGCAGTTACTCTGCCCACTGGGCTTCCTGTCCACTGCATGGGAAACAGGAGTGTTATAACAGAGGGAGCACTGAACAAACGTCTTTGTTTATTCACGCCAAATTTCACTGTCATCATCATTAGACTGAAGTGTCTCCACCAAATAGTCAGGGGACAGATATACCAAAATATGACACACTCCTTTTTGTGACATTCTCACCTGTTTGTTTTCTTTGAGCCAATCCATACCTTAAGATTTATTTTCCATGAGCATGTATTAGGTAGGGTTTATTTCTTCTCAGCTTAACTTACAACAGGACTTTTCAAAAACTCTACCATCCTATAAAATCTTTCCACTGGATGAAAGAGTACTGGCCCCCGAAACAACCCATCGACAGGTGCTTTGTCTGCTGGCCCCCCTCCTCAAGTGAAGGCCAGTGCTTCTGAGCAAGTGATGAGCCTTCGAACAATCGCATACATTCCACACAGTTTTTACAGTAGATAAACTTTTTTCTGTAGAGTTGGTCTATGCCATAAACCTATGAAGGGGAGCAGGACAAATACCTGTGACAATACGGTTCAGTACCACATGGCCATGGACATACTGCCAGATTAACCAGGTTCCCACACAGCATCACACAGAGGAAGCCCCAGAGAAAAAGTTTAAATTAAAGCAGTTAATTCTGGTGCAATACCAGCGTAAAGAAGATGCAAATGTAAAATTTGGGCTTAACTTTTTAAAACTTCACAACACTTCATGTGACTAAGATTTAGTGGGGGTCCAAAGCCAGGACTTGGAGACCAATACTATCCAGAGAAAAGGCTCCATCCTTTGTCACAAATCTTCATGAGACTTAATTCATCCCATTGTTGACAGCAGGCTGACATTGGTTTCTACCAGGGTCCCGCATCTCAGTGCTGCTGGCACTTTCCTGCAATGGACGCTATGCAGGGCCCATCCTGGGTCCTGGGGTGCTCATTTAGCAGCAATCTTGCTTTTGACCCGTCGGATGCCAGTAGCACCCCTTCAGATGTGCCAAGCAAAATGTCTGCAGACATCAGCAAAAGTTCCAGGAGGGAGGGTGGGAATGGGGGCCAAGGAAGGGGGCAGGCTGCTCCTGATGAAGACCATGGGTATAGAACAGTGTTCCTCAGACAGAGTCCTGCGCCTTGTAAGATCAACCTCAGTGAGCCAATCTGCAGACCAAGGTCACAGACCCTTAAGCAGGCACTGCTCCAGGAAGCAGCAGTGTGGCAGACTGCCTCCTTTCAGGGGCCACACTCTGTGCCTCGATTCCTTTACCCCTCTTATGCTCTCCCAACTCTCCCTTTTCCTATGTGGCTACAACAGGACACAAGTGAGGATCTGACTGCTTGGCAGGAAGGGCACAGTACAGTGGAAAATTATTTTATTGCTTTTCATTTTCCCAGGGCAAAAAAGCATCTGTATTTTGACAAAAGGACTATGGGCCAGAAAACCACAGCTGAGAAACAGACCACAGACAAATAGACTAGAGCACTATAGCCAGTACATTTTGGCTCAGAGCTAAAATTCCAAATTCCATTCTCAGCCAAAAATTACAAGTAAAAGAAATAGGAAGAAAGCGCACAGGTTCCTAGCAGTGGGCAAGTAGTCTTTTCTAAGTGATACAACAACAGCTTCGAGTGGGACTGAAGACAAGAGCCTAGCATGGGCTAAGAAGGGGCTCCTGTCCGTGCAGCTCATCCAGCACTCACAGCCCAGGCGTCTCCCTCCTGTCCCCAGTGCGGCTCACTGAACAATACATACCTGTTGTAGGAGAGAAAGGCCAGGAGGAACAGGAGGCATGCCAACACGTCAGCTCTGCCCACAATTCCAGCCACCTAGGAGTTAACACAGTAACAAATTTAAAATTCAGAAGGTTATTCTCAGAATATCTTGCAGAAATGTTTTTTATTTTAGATGAGTGGAAGGGCATAATAAAACAGAAAATGTAATGTTCTTCAAATTCTCATTTATGATGGACCACCTCTGACATATAGAGTCCACCAAGGAAACGTACGCATGCTTTGGCGGACTGCTGTGCTTACTAATAAATGTCTGGAAGCAAATGGCCAACATTTATAATTGTAGAGGCCAAAGGTAACATATTAATTTCATGATGTCACAATAAATTTAGCATTAAAATATTATACAAGTTTTTCTTTTCCTGATGTGTGCGTACATTTTTTTTTGGTAGACTGTACATTTAACAATAAGGCACAGAAGAAGAAAAACAGGAAGGCCAAAATTTTCATGATTTAACTTCTACTCTGTAGAAAGATAATTCACATCATCAAAGTTTATTCATTTATTGATTTTTCACAAAAGCTTTAAGAGCTGAGGGTGCAACTCAGTGTTAGAGCCCTTGCCTACCACGCACAGCGCCTTAGGTTCAAGTCACAGCACCACACGTGCACACAAACGCTGAAGCAATGCTGGGGATCAGCACTGTGCTGGTCTTTGGGCATCACACTGATAACAGAGCAGAGAATATTTACACAATGAAGGGAAAAAACAGGTGAGGAATTATACTTGTAACAAGAAACAGAATGAGTTTGAACTCATGATTGCTACACAACAGTTTGTGTGTGTGTGTGTGTGTGTGTGTGTGTGTGCGCGCGCACATAGCTCTGCCAGTGAAAGGGCTTAAAGGCAACATATCCCAGTGGCACACATCAATACTGGCACCCACTATAAACCATTTTCCCTAAAGACAACACCAGCTCCTTTGAAAAAAGGCTGAGTTCTGGGCTGAGGTTAGGGATATTCCAGAGACTAGGCCATCTTCCTATGTCAAAAAAATCAGAAAGTACTGAAAATATGATAGTCAAAAGGACACAGAAGCCAACAACAAGAGGCCCTCACTGACCACAACTAAGATGATTTTAATATTGAAATAAAGGAGGGCCACATTATTTTATAAACCACAGGAAAAACAGAAACCCATGCGTCCATATGGAGTATATGTGGAGGATGAATAAAGGACACAAATGCAAGTATACAACAGCAGATAAAGCATGAGAAAAAAGGTCAGTTCCTGCTTCACTAAAAAGGCAGCTAAAGGATGTGCAAGAACTAGGGGAGTTAGAAAATAACCATTTTGCCTCCAAAACAGTAAAGGAACAGCAAGGAACATCAACAGTTATAGGGCTGGAGCACAGTACAGTTCAGTGGGAGAATGCCTGCCCGGCAGTGCAAGGCCCTGGGTTAGATTCCCGCACTGAAAATACAACGCTAAACCTAGAGCATGAAAATTTTTGAGGTATAAGATATTTGCATGGCTTTAAAGTATTGCCTTATCAACTATTCATTCTCTAGGAGAAATGTTTAAATATAACTGGAGAAAATGTTGTAGTGCACTATACCTTCCTTGAGGAATCAAAATTAAAGTCATCGTCCGTGAGAAAAACTATGCATTATTCTAGCCAAGGCTATTATAACCTAAATAAAATCACTGGAAAAGTCAGACAAACTCAACAGTCCATAAGATATAAACATATCATATGTTTAAAAGTTATAAAATAAGGGCTGGGGATTTAGCTCAGCAGCATAAGCACCTGCCTTGCAAGCAGGCAGTCGTGAGTTCGATCCCCAGTGCCAATAAAAAAAATTAAAAAATAAGTTATAAAATATATCTTATATTAATATTTTATAATATACATTTTATTACATCTTAATTTATTGTGGTTTATGCCACATCATTCCTAATTAAATGATAATTCATGATCACAATACTGTATATATTACATGCTACAGAGGTATTACACTGTGGTACCTTGGTTGACAATCTTTTTTTTTTTATTTAAAGAGAAAAACAAAACTAAACGAAGCAAGACAGTAAAAGGCTAGAAGTAATATAGAATTTCAAGAGAAAAAATATACAGCAAGAGTTCACCAGTTAATAGATCACACATTGTCATCTTACAAACAGCTGTCCAGATTACAAAATTAAAGCATACAAAGTGGAGATTAATACAGTGAGATTGCAGTCAGTCCTGTTCAATGATCCAAGAAAAACTCAGCAATATGGTTCTCTATCCTACACATTTAAATACACTTGCAGTTATATCCTTTAGATCACATTCCTTCCTCTCTCTTTGACACTAACAATCACACATTTTAGTTTCCATTACTTCCACAATTTTTCCAACTTTTTCTTTGAAGAGGAAAAGAAAAAAGATTTTTAAAAAACCCAAAAAACAAAAAACAAAACAAGACGGACCAAAGAAAAACCCAATGTGACAAAGCAAAACAGAGTCAGTTAGATCAAGAGGATGGACATAGCATAAAATGAAAAAGAAAAAAAAAGGATTACTAGGTGATCAACAATGGTTACCATTATGCCTCTTGTTATCCTAAAAAGAGCAGCCTATATCAGCTGGTATAAAAGAATTGAACAAAACTGTACATAAGACCAATAAAACCACATGGGAGAGCTTACATGATTCCAAAGAAGGTAACAGTCAAATAATAACGGGCATCATAGAATATCTGGTTGCCTTCCAAATGGTTGCCTATACCCTCAAACTTGATACTATTAAGCGAAACAGAATATAATAAAATCAGTCAGAACAAGATGTGGAGAACACTACAGGGGTTCAAATCAGGTTAATAGGGAAACAAAAAAATTACTATAATCTATCACACTATTTTTAATTTAGTTTTCCCTTAGTTAAAAGATACTAAGAAATAAATTAATTTAAAAAAAGGAAAGAAAAAGGGGGGAGACTGAGATAAAAAAAAAAAAGAACATATCAATAGAACAACACCGGTCAGAACCAAAAACTTTAAGCATCATTGTGTTTCACCCCCAGATAGCTTGACATTAATAGTAGTTACCATAGTGACTCTCTTGAAATATTTGAGTCTAACTTCGTATACTATAGCATCAAATTTATCAAGACAGTGTGAAACTGTTCAAGAGAATGAAATTATTGCAGGGTATTTAGAACCAGCTAGCAGAAACCAAATATCAATTTCCATATTATCTCTTTGTCTATAAAACACTTGCTTATATTATCACATACATTAAGATATAATAAGATACAACATGTTAGAACCAATGGAAACAAATGAACAACAACTTGATGGGGCTTCAAAACAGGATGATATTAAATCAGCACTAGCTATTACGCTCTTATTTTCTTCAAAATAATTATTTGTAGTATCACAGACAATAAAATAAAACAACCCAAATTAAAACTATTCCAATTAATGAGTGAACACATTATATGGCTTCAAACCAGTGTGACTGGGAATCATGATTACCACGTACTTTCATGTATTCTTATCGTTTCTTACACTAGGGAAACTATTCAGTATTTATACAGGTGAGTTTGATTTATTTCACGTACGAGTATGGTCTCGAACTGTGTCCATTTATTTATAAATGTCTCAATGTGATCATTCTTTATAGCTGAGTAGTACTCCATTGTATAAAAATACCACAACGTTTTTATACATTCCTCAGTTGATGGACACTTAGGTTGTTTCCAAGATCTGGCTACTACAAATTGTGCTGCTATAAACATGGGTGCACATATATCACTGTGGTATGATGCTTTCAGTTCTTCTGGGAATATGCCTAGAAGTGGAATAGCTGGGTCAAATGGGGCTTCCAGTCCCAGCTTTCTGAGAAATCTCCAGACTGACCTCCACAATGGTTGCAGCAGTCTATACTCCCAGCAACAGGGCAGGAGAGTTCCTTTTTCCCCACAGCCTCTTGAGCATTTGTTGTTGTTGGTTTTCTTGATCTTGGCCATTCTTTCAGGAGTGAGATGAAATCTCAGTGTGGTTTTAATTTGCATTTCTCTAATGACTAGTGATGCTGAACATTTTTTCATTTATTTGCCGTTTGTATTTCTTCATCTGAAAATTGTTTATTCATCTCCGATGCCCATTTTTGGATGGGGTCTTTGAATTTTGGGGGTCTGATTTTTTTTAATTCTTTGTTTTAGACAGAAGTCCTTTGTCTGAGGGACAGTTCACTAGGATTTTTTCCCAGTTTGTGGGTTTTCTTTTCACTATGTTAGAGATTTCTTTCAATGTGCAGAAACTTTTTAATAAGATGTAATCCCAGTTATTAACTCTGGGAAGTATTTCCCATGCGGTTTGAGTCTTGTTCATGAATTCTCTACCTCCCCCGTGTCTTCAAGGTTTTTACGCAATTTGTCTTCCAATAGATTTAGTGTTTCTGTTTTAATATTTAGATCTTTGATCCATTTAGATTTTATTTTAGTATATGGTGACAGGCATGGGTCTAATTTTAGTTTTCGGCATATGGAGAGTTAGTTTTTCCAACACCATTTATTAAAGAGACTGTCATTCTTCCAGTGAACCTGTTTGGCTCCTTTATCAAAGATAAGGTGGTTGAGTGTGTTTGTAGTTCTGGTTGTATCTTCTAATCTATTCCATTGGTCTTCGGCTCTGTTTTGATTTGAGTACCATGTTGATTTTACTATAGTTGCTTTGTAGTATAACTTCAAGTCAGGGATTGTGATGCCTCCTGCCTTGCCTTTGTTGCTTAGAATTGTCCTTGCTATTCTAGGTCTCTTCTCACTCCAGATGAATTTTAGGATTGATTTCTCGAGGTATTGATTTCTATGAGGTATGTTGATGGTATTTTTATCAAGATTGCATTGAATCTGTATAACAGTTTTGGGAGAATGGCCATTTTCACAATATTTATTCTTCCTATCCATGAGCAAGGGATGTCTTTCCATTTTCTGAGATCATCTTCAATTTCATTTTTCAATGTATTATAATTTTCCCTGTATAGGTCTTTCACTTCTTTCATGAGTAATTCCTAAATATTTCATTTTCTTGGTTGCTAGTGTGAAGG